CCCTAACAGATGGTCATCCAGCCTCTGTTTAACAGCCTCCAAAGAAGGAGCTTCCACCACACCCCAAAGCAGAGAGTGGAACTTACAGTCAGGAAGTTCTTCCTAATATTCAGGTGGAATCTCCTTTCCTGTAATTTGAACACATTGTTCTGAGTCCTAGTTTCAAGGGCAACAGAAAACAAGTCTGCTCCCTCTTCCCTGTGACACCCTTTCACATATTTATACATGGTTATCCTGTTCTGTTTCTCTCTCCATTCTATGTATCGTTTTAACAACATCCTTCACTTCCTTCCTCTTTTAACCAAATCCTAGTTTCCAGGGCAGCAGAATACAAACCTGCTCTCCCTTCCTTAGGATATATATCCATTCAAATATGTAAACATAGCGATCATGTCTCCTCTCAACTTTCCCTTCTGGAGGATAAACATATCAGTTCTTTAAGAACTCCTCATAGAGCATGGGTTGTTCCTATTAAGAACCAGCCTAACTGTTTTTCGACCCTGAAATGTAGGGAAGCTCTGGAGCATTCTTCGACTTCAGTTAATCTGCAGCAAAACTACACATTAAGCAGCCTTGTCCTGTATTGGGGGTGAGAATGGTCTGTGCTCTGTTTAGATATGCCCAAGGTGTCTATAGTAGGAGAGCTATCCATTGTGCTGAACTTATCTCAGGGCTGAGAATCAGCATGTTGGATAGGTAATCTTTTATAGATAGATACATTTTAAAAGTTATATTAGCAATTTAAAAAGAAGATTAAGAAGTACAGAATAAAAATACAAAAAGTGAGAAGTAAAAGAAAAACAGAAAGGAAAAATAGAAAGGAAGAAAGATTATTGTCTATATGTGAGTTATATTAATTGTATTGTTTTATTTGCTTATTGCTTTGTTTTTACTTATGCGTTTTGGGCTTGGCCTCATATAAGCCGCTCCAAGTCCCCTTGGGGAGATGGTGGCAGGGTATAAATAAAGTATTATTATTATTATTATTATTAAAGAGATAAAGAGAAAAGAAAAGTAGTTGACTTCCAGTTTATCTTCATTCAGCTACCAAAAAATAACATAGGCTTAGTGTTGGCTCATTTCTCAAGCAAAAATCATTTTCTAATTAGTCTTCTAAACTTAAAATTGGGATTTTCTTTTCTTTTCCTTGGGAAAAGTCGTTGAGGGGTTTCCAATCATTTGTTTTTTTCACAATGTTCTTTAATAAGCAGGTTCCTTTATCCATTTCAGTCAAGTCCATCATTTTTTCATCCAAACTTCTATTGTTGGTGCTGCTGAGTTCTTCCATTTCTGTGTGTAAATCAATCTAGCTGCTGTGGTCATATATTGCAACACTCTACCACAGTCATTTATATCAGTCAGTCCATATAAAAATGTTTCAGATACAGAATATTGAATCATTCTTGTAAATTTCAAACTAAAACCTGGGGTGCATTCATCAGTATTATTGTTGTCTTTCAAACAACAGATGCGTATTAGAGCAACATAGAATAGAAAGCTGTAGCCACAGAACCACTGCTTGTGCTGCTGTTGTTGTTTGTTGCCTGCATGTCATTTCTAACATATGATGACCCTAACATCAACCTATCACAGGGTTTGCTGAGGCTGAATGTGTGTCTCACCTAAGATCAAGCAATGTGTTTACTTGATTGAACAATGAATAAAACCCTAGTCTTCTGAGTCATTGCTCAGTGCTCAAGCCACTAAATGGCATTGGCTATCCACAGAAACATTACATGTTTTCAAGCAGCCAGATGGGCCAGGCTTTAGCATAGCAGGTTAAACACCAAGCTGTAATAAATCTTGCCAACAGAAAGTATGATAGTTCAAAGCCTGGGTCAAGGTGAGCACCTGACCTTTAGCCCAGCTTCTGCCAACCTAACAGTTCGAAAACAAAAAAAAAGTGAGTAGACAAATAGGAACCACATTAAAGTGGGGAGGTATTTCAGGCATGGCATTTCAATCAGAAAAAGGAGGAAGGCTATGAACAAAGAAAGCTCTTCGGCAAGGAGATGCAGCGACAGCACTCCCTGTGGCTGGAACCAAGCACAGCCTCCAAAGATGCCAAAAGATGGGAAAGCCTGTTTACCTCTGTCTGTTGTCTGTCTTGTTGTTACATAATCAGCATTGAATATTTCTTGTATATGTGTTCTGTGATCTTCCCTGAGTCCATTTCTAGGTGAGAAGGGTGAAATATAAATACTGTAAATAAATAAATAAGATTTCAAGTACAATTTTCACAACTGGTTTTGCAGTTCCTGAAATTCCCATCCCAACATAGCTCAAGCTTTTTGTGAGCTTTGGGCTTAAGATTTTGAGGAACTCTTCCATCTTTAGTCTTTAAGCAGTTTGCCTTTCCATTATATTTAACAGCATACTGAAGAGAATATATTGTTGTAATAATTTATCTGAATATATATATATAAATATTCATTGTTTTTTAGCTGAGAATTATGTTGGAGAATGTGAGACATGTGAAAGGTGAGAATAGCTAACACTCCTACTCCAAAGATAGTTACACTGAGTCAGGCATGTAGCGGGGGGGGGGGGGGGGGGCTTGAGGGGCTTCAGCCCTCCCCCCGAAATTCTCATGGTGGTTCGCGAAAAGGCCTTACTGGTGCATTATTTAAACTGTTATGTTTATTCATATCATGATCTGATCACCATACTCAATATATCCCATATGCATGGGGGTATTGGGGTAATGATACAAAAGGTTTGCTAGTGTAGACCCTCTTTCACTCAGACTCAGCCCCCCCCCCCGAAACTCACCCCGAACCCCCCCTGAAAAAACCTCCCCCCCCCCCCCAAATCGAAATCCTGGCTACAGGCCTGGCTAACATTCATACTCGAAAGGCAGTTACGCTGAGTTCACTTTTAAGTCAGTGTGCATAGTGTTGCATTGTAAATTCATTCCTCAAATGAGACTACGACCTATGGATCAGAACATGTCATATAGGAATGTTGCTTATATTGTTGCGTGCCTTCAAATCATTTCCAGCTCATGGTGACCCAAAGGCAAACCTATTGTGAGATTTCTTGACAAAATTGTTCAGAGAGGATATCTGATTGTTTTCCTTTAAGGTTGTACATAGGACTTGTGTAAGGTTACTCAACAGGTTTCCATGATCAAGTGGAGGTTCAAACCTAGACCATCCTTGCTGTGACATTCTGGGACATACTGGAATATACTATACAGTTTACTTCCTCCATCATCTGTATTATAGCCAGAACTTGAAATTGCCGGGGAGGCGGGGTGCAATTCTTTTTTAGTCTAAAAAATAACTTCCCCAAACTCAATATTGCCTATATCCAAGTAATAATCTTCCAATCTTCAAAGGCACTAAAATTTAAGAGCCAAATGGTGTAATTCTTCTCCCCACCACAAAGATAAAAGCTCTTATTACCTGTTGATTTGATTCAATTTAATCTTAATTGCTTCATTCTCTTTCTTTCTCCTCCAAGAGATAATCTTGATATTGATATTTTTACAGGGCCCTGTAATTCTTTTCCCCATTTCAGGGATCATTTCTCTTTCTTTTTTTGATCCTGCAAAGATTTGTGTGCAGGAAGCATGAAAATAATCTCCTTTTCATGGCTTTTATTATCCTGCCAAAAATGCAGGTAATGGCTCATGATGTTTTGTTTCTTGGTTCTTTAAAAATATTTCAGATGATTAAGCCTCATTTTCAGAATATAACATCAAATGTCCCCAACAACCATTACATCTGAACAGTTTTGCAAAATGTGCTTCAAAAATTCCAGGTTTTGCATTCCAGTAACCTTAAGTGTAGAAAAGACTGTAGTTTTGGATTGATTGATTGATTATTTACAGTATTTCTATTCTACCCCAAAGGGGACTCAGGGCGGATCACAGAACACACATATACGGCAAACATTCAGTGCTGTTATACACTGACAAGACAGACAATTGTACATAGATAGAGGTTTGTATAGGCTTTCCCATCTTTGACATCTTGGAGGCTTGCACTCAGTTCCAGCCACCGGGGATGGGGGGGGGGTGCTGCTGCTCTCCATCTTCCCTGCCAAAGAGCTTTGTTCGTGAACTTCTTCCTTGATCAAATTGCTGGCATTTCCTTAAATACATCTCCATTTTAAAGCAGTACCAATTTATCTACTCACATTTGCTTTCAAACTGATAGGTAAGCAGAATCTAAGCTAAAGGCCAGGAGCTCATCCTGACCCGGGCTTCGAACTGTCAACCTTTCAAATGGCAAGAATTATGCAGCTGGTGGTTAACCTGCTGTGCTAAAGCCCAGCCCTTTTAACTATAAAGTACAATGTAAATGTGATGACACTATTTATGTATTATTTATTTGACCCTTTCTCAGCTCAGAGGGGACGCAAGGTGATTCACAGTTGGCAACAATTTGATGCCTCAACAATTATAAAACACAACTAAAACAGTTATAAAATACAGTTAAAACATTTAGCATCTAACATAAACACTGTACAAAGCCATAAAAACATTATCATGAACATCTCCTTACTATATATATAAATAAAGTAAAGATAAATAAATTGGAAATGGAGATGGAAATGGGAAAGAAATGTATCCCTGAAAAAATAAATGCAAAAATTATGCCAAATGGAAATATTCACACACACATATATTTATGACAGATGTGTGTAAATCCACAAAGATCTGCATTTTGTTTTCATTCCATCATCCTTGTGAATAACTACCTGATCCATTTAATAAAATATTGCTGAGTGTTTTCAAACTGTAGCTGATCACTTGCAAGTTCAAAGAGATCAGCTGTGGAAGGAAACATGCAAACACTCTACAGTCAAAGTCAGCTTATTAACAGCACCAGAGTTGTTAAAAGCAAACTATTATCCATTATGCAAAACACTACTGAATTAATAGCTTCCAGATTGCAAGCTGTGAAAATAAATAACCATTTGGGAGCTATGCATCTGATCAGCTTCGTTACAAAACTGGAATTAACGGGATCTTTTTTTCTCTCTCTTTTCAGTTATTAGATGAAGAAAGATTTCAAGACATAGAAAAAATTAAAACCATTGGGAGCACATACATGGCTGTATCGGGATTATCTCCTGAAAAACAGGTAGGAGGTTATATCTGGTAGCTAAAAAATACATTGTTGTTATTCTTGTTGTGTGCCTTCAAGTCATGTGTGACTTATCCTGACCCTAAGAAGATTATCTTGGCAAGGTTTGTTAACAAGGGGTTTGCCTCTGCTTGCCTCTGAGGCTGAAAGAATGAGATGTGCCCAAGCCTTCCAATACTCAGATCCCTCCGCTATTCTGGCTCTTAACAGCTAACAAAGATGCCTGTCTGTATAATGTATTCATTCAAGTCACTTGGACTTCCAGGTGTCAGGAGGCCACACCAGTTCTCTTCCAACCTCAAATTGAAGGTCCATGCCCTTACCCACCTGTACTCCAAATCCACCAAAAAAGATGAGAAAATCGGCGTTATACCTTCAGAAGTAATTATAATTATATAATTATACTTATATAATTATAATTATATAATACAGAAGTATAAGTAAAGGCAGAAAAATGTATTAGTATTTATAACATAGTATTTGCAGAAAAATCCTGCAAATCTCTTGGGAAGACAAGCGGACAAACGTCAACATGCTGGAAGAAGCAAAGACCACCAGCACTGAAGCGAATTTCCTCCGCCATCAACTCCCCTGGATCGGCCACATTGTCCGAATGCCTGATCACCATCTCCCAAAGCAGTTGCTCTACTCTGAACTCAAGAACGGAAAACAATGATGATGGACAGGAAAAGAGATTTAAAGATGGGCTCAAAGCCAACCTTAAAAACTATGGCATAGACACTGAGAACTGGGCAGCCCTGGCCCTTGAGCACTCCAGCTGAAGGTCAACTGTGACCAGCAATGCTATAGAATTTGAGGAGGCACAAATAGAGGGCAAAAGAGAGAAATGTGCCAAGAGAGAGGCGCGTCAAGCCAACCCAGACCGGGACTGCCTTCCACATGGAAACCAATGCCCTCACTGTGGGAGAACATGCAGATCAAGAATAGGGCTCCACAGTCACCTACAGACCCACCGACAGAACACCAATCTTGGAAGAGAGTCCTACTTGGACAACGAGGGATCGTCTAAGTAAGTAAGTAAGTATAGGCGTGAAGATTACTGCAGACACAAATGGAAGCCAGGAAATCATAAGATTTTTACTTCTTGGGAGGAGAGCAATGACCAATCTTGACAAAATAGTGAAGACTAGAGACAACACATAGCAATGAAGATCCACATCATTAAAGCAATGATATTCCTCATGGTAATCTATGGATGTGAGAGCTTGGACCATAAGGAAGGCTGAGCGAAGGAAGATAGATGATTTGAACTCTGGTTGTGGAGGAAAATTCTGACAGTGCCTTGGATAGCGAGAAGATCCAACCAGTCCATCCTCCAGGAAATAAAGCCAAATTGCTCACTGGAGAGAAGGATATTAGAGGCAAAGATGAAATATTTTGGCCAAATATGAGAAGACAGAAAAGCTTGGAGAAGGCAATGATGCTGGGGAAAATGGAAGGAAAAAGGAAGAGGGATCAACCAAGGGTAAGATGGATGGATGGTATCCTTGAAGTTATTGGCTTGACCTTGAAGGAACTGGAGGTGGTGACTGCTGACAGGAAGCTCTGGCGTGGGCTAGTCCATGAGGCCACGAAGAGTCGGAAGCAACCAAGTGAATAAACAAAAACAACAAACCTTCTGTGGAAGGCTGGAAGTCTCCATTCCTCTACCCCAGTTTGCTCATGGACAAAGTGTTAGGAATTGTGGGAGTTGAAGTCCAAAACACCTGGAGGGCCAATGTTTGCCCATGCCTGCTCTACCACAAGAACCTAAAAGTAAAAATAAAGTTGGCCTCCAAATGCGCCCAAATGCACTCTAAGGAGCATGCCAACCTTTTTTCAGGTTCCTCTGAGTCATTTTAAGCCATGGAGAAACTTTTTTTTAAAAAAAGTGGAAAGTCACTTTTGAGTCAATTTCTTTTTTTGTATTCTATGTGTCTCTCTCTCTGTGTGTGTACAAATACATGCATACACATATACAAATAAAGGTAACAAAAAGAATGGGATTTTAGTAATATATTAATAATGTGCTAAATCAGAGGTAAATCATCAGCAACTATAAGATCTTTCAACTGAAAGGTTGCAAGTTCAAAGCTCCAGGTTGGCATGAGTGGCCAACCGTCAGCCCTGCTCACTCTTTACCTAAGCAGTTCAAAAACAGCTTTAGCTATAATTAGAGAAATTAGGTACCATTAGAAGTGGGGGGGGGTGTTTTACAATACCATAAAGAAAAAGATCAGAAAACGCTGGAATGAGGAAATCCTGATGGCTCTTCGTCATAGAGGATGGAGCGACAGCATCTCCTGTGGACTTGAGCTCAACCATCCATGGCATCCAAACAACACCTCCTTCTGTGCTGTCTGTCTATGTACTGTCTATACAAATGGCATTGAATGTTTGCCGTGTATGTGTGATCCGCCCTGAGTCCCCTTAGGGATGAGAAGGGTGGAATATAAATAAAGTATTTATTATTATTATTATTATTATTATTATTATTATTATTATTATTATTTAAATAATGAGTATCAAATAACATCAATAACATATTTGTACAAATAAAAAAACAAATTCAACATGTTAGTCAATACACTGAGTAAAACTTCTGTTTAAAATTTTCTCTGGAAAGACTTCTGTGGAAATTTTAAAGCAGAGGCTGGAGCTTTTTGCTTGTGTGTTCCTGCATGGCAGGTGGTTTGGCTGGATGGCCCTTGGGGTCTCTTCCAATTTATTTATTTATTTATTTACGGTATTTATATTCTGCCTTTCTCACACTGCAGGGGACTCAGGGCGGATTATAATGCATATATACATGGCAAACACTCAATGCCATAGACATACAACATATATAAACAGACACAGAGGCAATTTAACATTCCAGCTTTTCCAGCTTCATGAGGGTATGCTCAATTCCAGCCACAGGCGGAGCTGTCGCTTCACCATCCACTTGTGACACCGAGTCCTTGATGGAGGACTTCTTCCAACTCTATGGTTTTAAGTCAATGCTAATGAGTCATGAAGCTAGATCCAGCTTTTAAGATTTGTTTGTTAGGGACAGATGTGGAAGAGCTGGTCAGCCAACCAATGCTTGGCTTATGCAGTGGAATTTCTGTTTCATTCTCTCTCTCTTTTTTTCCAGCAATGTGAAGATAAATGGGGCCATTTATGTGCACTGGCCGATTTCTCCATTGCACTGAATGAAAGCATTCAAGAGATCAATAAGCATTCCTTTAACAACTTTGAGCTCCGCATTGGTATGTATGTGTTGAATATGTCTACATAAACAAAATAGAATTATGGGTGGGAAATCCCACATTATCTGAGTGTGGACCCAGATAACCCTGTTCAAAGCAGATATTGTGGGATTTTCTGTCTTGATATTCTGGGATATAGGGCTGCGTGGAAGGGCCCTTTGTCATCTCTCCTCCTATCCTCCTAATAAGTCCTTTTAGCAATGTCCCGGATATATAAATTCTATTTCCATCTATACTCAGTCTACACAGTATGTCAGACTACTCAGAGAAGCCCTTGAAATCCACAATTGTGTGGACAATTTCACCAGAAAGGAGGAAATCATGAAAATGAACAAAATCTGGCTACCAATATTAAAACAAACTCTGAAATCAGAACCGTAAGTAAAGAAGAACATTAAGAAAAACAGGAATTCCTGACAGAAATCAGTCAGGGCTAACTAACACCTCCCAACAAAGGATTCTTCCAGTCAGGAAGCAGCCAGGCTTTGAAGCTGCAAGGCCATTCCATGCTAATCAAGGTGGCCAACAATAGACAACAATAGACAAGAGGGTTTTTTTCCTACCCTGGACTTTCCACAGATATGTAAAACGCACTTGCCTAGTTACCAAAAGACTTCACAAACTATGAGGATGCCTGCCATAACTGTGGGTGAAATGTCAGGAGAGAATGCTTCTGGAACATGGACATACAGCCCGGAAAACTCACAGCAACCCAGTGATTCCGGCCATGAAAGCCTTCGATAACACATTATACTCAGTCTGTTTCTATGTGTAAATAAACGACATGTCACAAAAGTGGTATAAACTTCTATTACCTGGGAGATTTCATGGCTTAGGAAGGAATGTTATGGCATTTTGTTAGTTGAAGTCAAAAAAGGAATATTGTGTTAATGCTACAAAAGATTAACAGGACTACTCTTCTATAACTCTCATCTCTTTCTTCGTTTTCCTAGGCATTAGCCATGGCTCTGTCGTCGCAGGCGTTATTGGTGCTAAGAAACCCCAGTATGACATCTGGGGCAAAACGGTGAACTTAGCTAGCCGAATGGACAGCACTGGCATCAGCGGCAGAATGCAAGTGCCTGAGGAAACCTATCTCATCCTGAAGGACAAGGGGTTTGCCTTCGATTACAGGGGTGAGATCTACGTCAAGGGCATCAGTGAGCAAGAAGGAAAAATCAAAACATATCTTCTTCTGGGAAGAGTCCAGCCAAACCCTTTAATCTTGCAGCCGAGGAAACTGACGGGGCAGTACTCCTTAGCGGCTGTCGTCTTAGGGCTTGTGCAATCTCTCAACAGGCAAAAACAGAAGCAAATCCTCAATGAGAACAATAATTCTGGTATCATAAAAGGTCACTACAACCGGCGGACTTTGCTAACCTCCGGGGGATCGGAATCGACAACCCAAGCAGAGGGTGCTGACAAAACTGAATTGCCATAAGCCTGCATCTTCCTTTGTGTTTTTTTCTCCTTTTTTAAACTTTCTTTTTATATATAAAATAAATATATAAATAAAAATATCGTTCAATTTTTATAGAACGGTTTTCTTTCATTGATTCATTCCAAACCATCTCGACTCTTGTTTCCATATGTGCGTTGAATAAGGCAGGTACAAATGAGAAATTTCCAAATGAATGAATTGGTGAGATGATATGATGAAAAGCTTAAGTTTGCAAATGGAGATGGCGAGTGACCCAGAACTAATGCCAACCCAATAGGGAGATAAGGAGGGCCATACATTATTATTATTATTAGTAGTAGTAGTAGTAGTAGTAGTAGTAGTATTTGATTCATTTAATTATTTTGTAGTGTCAGGAGCAACTTGAGAAACTGCAAGTTGCTTCTGGTGTGAGATAATTGGCTGTCTGCAAAGACGTTGCCCAAGAGACACCAGATGTTTTAATGTTTTTACCATACTTGTGGGAGGCTTCTCTCATGTCCCCGCATGAGAAGCTGGAGCTGATAGAGGGAGCTCATCCGTACTCTCCCCAGATTCGAACCTGCAATCTGTTGATCTTCAGTCCTGCTGGCACAGGGGTTATGATACATAACAAGATTGGTACACAGCAAACAAGATCACCATGCTGGCTTTTGTATTCACTCACACTTCAGACACTTGCCAAGTGTCTAGGACTGTGTGATGGATTGGCGAATAATACATGCATATCCCAGTAAGGTGGCCTTTTGCAGCTGACAGTTGGTAATTTTGTCTGTGCCATTTGTTTTTAAGTGCAGGCCAAGGTCTTTAGGCACTGCACCCAGTGTGCCGTTTGCCACTGGGTGCACTTTTACTGGCTTGTGCCAGAGTCTTTGCAGTTCGATCTTAAAATCTTCATATTGTGTCAGCTTTTCCAGTTGCTTTTCATCAATCCTGCTGTTGTCTGGGATTGCAGAATCATACTTGTTTTTTCCCCACAATCTTGTGATCAGGAGTACTGTGCACCAAAACTCTGTCTGTCTGAAATCAGAAGCCCCAGAGTAGTTTGACATGGTCATTTTCCATAACTTTTTCAGGCTTGTGATCCCACTAGTTCTTTGTCGCAGGCAGATGTTATTTGTGGCACAAGTTCCAATGGATCATCTGAGCAACAGTGTTATGCCTCCCCTTTGTTGTTGTTGTTATTTGAAACACAACAAGATGAGTCCACAGCAGACAAGATCACTCTGCTGCTGTTGTATTGGATCACATGTCGGACACTTCCCAAGTGTCTAGGACTGTGTGATGTATAAAATATAGAATTGCTCAAAGAAACAAATGAGCAACAGAAGGCATGAGGAAGGAAGGTTGATTTTGTCCCACTCTAATGTGTGCAATAATCTGCTAAAAATCTGAGAAGTGGTATCTCTCTTCAAAAATGCTTTTCACGCTTTCTACCACTAACCCAAGCACTGTTTTCTCACTGAAGGTAGCCGGCACTGCCTAATAAAAATGCTAATGTGGATGGGTTGACAGGCAGTGCAGATTTGCAGCATATCACGCCTTTGAAGAACTTCTGAGTAAATCTCCCTTCAGCTTAAGGGAAGGAGGAGATTCAGTTTCACCTTGAAAGGGAGCTGGGGAAGAAAAATAAATTCAAAATTAAAAAAAAGAAACACAACTCTCCTTGGGAAAAAGAGAGATAAGCAAACACAAGCAGCTGCATGGGGTGACTTCTGAAGAAGAATATTACTTGGCATTTATAAATGTGTGCTGTACTCAGAATGTAAGAATATATTTGCTGAGTTGGACACAAGGACCATCTGGTAAAGAATTCTGGGAATCATAACCAGATACATTGAAGACATCTGCCCTTGCACTTTGCTACTCTGCTGCTGAGTACGCATGCCCAGTGTGGAAAACATCTCACCACGCTAAAACAGTGGATGTGGCTCTTAATGAGGCATGCCGCATTATCATGGGGTGTCTGTGCCCTACACCACTGGAGAAATTATTACACCTAAAGCAGGGGGTTGGACTTCTGGATGTCCCAAGAGGTCTCTTCCAACTCTATGATTCTATGTTTCTAATAGACTGAATAAATAAAATATATTTCAGAATGGATAGAGTCAATCAAGGAAGCCACAGCTGCCCTGAGTTTGCAGGACCCAAAAAGGACTGTTGCAGATGACTTCTAGAGACGTAGAGACCTCTCGTTTAAAGTTGGCTTGATACCAATAAAAACAACAAAAAATGAGACTATACCTGCCCAAATAAGAGTTCTCCTACCACATGAAATTGTCCTTTCATAGAATCATAGAATCAAAGAGTTGGAAGAGACCTCATGGGCCATCCAGTACAACCCCCTGCCAAGAAGCAGGAATATTGCATTTAAATCACCCCTGACAGATGGCTATCCAGCCTCTGTTTAAAAGCTTCCAAAGAAGGAGCCTCCACCACACTCCGGGGCAGAGAGTTCCACTGCTGAACGGCTCTCACAGTCAGGAAGCTCTTCCTCATGTTCAGATAGAATCTCCTCTCCTGTAGTTTGAAGCCATTGTTCCGCGTCCTAGTCTCCAAGGAAGCAGAAAACAAGCTTGCTCCCTCCTCCCTGTGGCTTCCTCTCACATATTTATACATGGCTATCATATCTCCTCTCAGCCTTCTCTTCTTCAGGCTAAACATGCCCAGCTCCTTAAGCCGCTCCTCATAGGGCTTGTTCTCCAGACCCTTGATCATTTTAGTCGCCCTCCTCTGGGCACATTTATTATTTATTTATTTATTCCGGTTGCTTCTACCCTGCCCTTCTCACCCCGAAGGGGACTCAGGGCGGCTTACAAGAACAAGGCACAATTCGATGCCCGTATCACAAACAACAAAATAACATCAATTAACAATTAAACAACATTTCTTACATTACTACCATAAAACCAATAAAATCAATACAAACCAGTTTCTCCTCATTGACGGTCAATGTTTGCTAGCTCATAGTTCAATTTCCAATTCCACAGTTGTCAGTCCTGTTAGTCCCATTCGTCTGGTTACCCTTATCTAAGAGTCAGATTGCCCAAAGGCCTGGTCCCATAGCCACATCTTTACCTTCCTCCTGAAGGAGAGGAGGGATGTTGATGCCCTAATTTCCCCCGGGAGTGAGTTTCACAGGTGAGGGGCCACCACTGAGAAGGCCCTGCTCCTCGTCCCCACCAGCCTCACTTGTCAATATCTCTCTTGAATTGTGTTGACCAGAATTCCTTTCATCTCCAAATTTCTAGCATTGTAGAAAGTAAAACATTGAAAATAATTCATATATATTAATCTCAGGTGTGCTGTGATTGCATTCCCTTGGTAACATCACATCACATCTTTTCTTGGGATGCCTTAAACACATTTCTCAATGTTTGGTTGAAGTTTCCATCACAGGAGTGGTGGTAATTTGGGGACCAATTTAAAGTTTCATTTTAGAAGGTGACATTATTATGAGGGAGGGGGAACTCCTCAGTTCTCATCCTTTTGATAGTTATACCATTGATTCAATGTAAAAACGGTATTGTGATGGGGATTTCTTTTTGATCTTTGCCTTTATCTTCCCCTGCTACACATGCATTCAAGGTGGATATATAATTGAAGGTGCACCCATAACCCAACCTAACATGGCTTTAATACAGATCAAAAATTTAATTTAAGGATTCAAGCGAACAATTATTTTTAGATGTGGAGAGGGCTCTTTTGAAGTAACAAGAGCAATGCATAAGTCAAGATTCATTTTCTTTACTTGAGTGAAGTCTAATTAGGAGGAATAGGGAAAGACTTCCGTGACGGATCTCATCTCCACCAAATTTCTCATTTACCTGGTTCTTTCTGGAGACAGATGCTGTATTAAACTCCTAGTATTTCACTCAGATTAGCAATGGTCTCCAAAACAATACAGGCAGAATATTTTATTGATGAATGTAACAGGGTGACGCAGTCTAAAAGCCTCTGGCACACTGAATTATTAATGCTTTATCAGCTCAGCACCCAAGATAAATCACATTTTTGTGCTTTGGTTTGCCCGGGTTCACGTTGTCTTCCACAAAAAATAAAAAGACTAACATTTTGCAGCTGTGGTTCAAACATATTTAATTTTCCTTCCTGGAAATTTGTTAACAGCTTGGTTTAGGATAAATTCAGACAGCCTCAGTTTAAAGAATCTAACACTGGATCTAGAAGTGTCAAGTTTTACGAGACTGATAAAGTTTGGAGCCTATCTTTTCCTTAATTGAATGCCTAAGCATAGGTAGGCTTCTACAGGATTTGCAATGTACCTCAAGGCCCCTTCCATACAGCTGAATAAAATCCCACATTTTCTGCTTTGAACTGGGAGATATGGCAGTGTGATCTCAGTTAACCCAGTTCAAAGCAGATATTGTGGGTTATTCTGCCTTGATATTCTAGGTTAAATGGCTGTGTGGAAGGGCCCCAAGTCAACAGGCAAACCTCCTATTACAGTCATGAACAGAACCATTTTTAGCCATTTCCTTCGGCCAATCCAGCTCCTTCAGTTTGTTCAGGTGCACGAAACGGCAAGGGCCCAGCCGTTATGGATTCCCCTCTGCAGCCAATCTCGGCTTCTCCTCCCCTATTTGGCATCACAGTTTAATCTTTTATTTATTTATTTATTTATTTATTTATTATTTACTTTATTTCTATATCGCTTTTCTCAGCCCTTAGGTGACTCAAAGCAGTTTACACAACAATGCAAAATATCACAAAACAGTATAATGCAATTAAAATATATTATAACATCAACAATTAACAACAGTATAACAATCATAACGCCTCAACAATAAAATCAGAATCCACTCTCATTATCCATTGTTCCATATTCCTATGTTCAATTTCACTGTTTAGTCAAACGCTTGTTCGAATAGCCAGGTTTTCACCTTCCTCCGAAACGCCAACAGCGAGGGGGCCGATCTGATGTCTGCAGGAAGGGCATTCCACAGCCGAGGGGCCACCACTGAGAAGGCCCTGTTTCTCGTACCCGCCAGGCGCGCCTGTGATGCAGGCGGGACCGAGGGCAGGGACTCCCCAGATGATCTTAGTGTCCTGGTCGGTTCATAGGAGGAGATGCGTTCAGAGA